AATGCACTGTGTCAGCTGGCCAATCAGAGCAGACTGCATTTGTCGGAAGGAGGGACTTTGTAGAAAACAAAGTGTTTGAGAGAGGCGGGGCATAGAGGACTTACAATAATGTACAGTATTTGAAAAATAGTGTGTTTTTTGAACATTAAAGCATGTCAACATATTCTGTTACACTAAATACACAAAATAATGATCTTTAAAAAAGCATCATATGACCCCTTTAAAACTGGTTTAAAGACAACATGAAATCAAAATCAACTCTTTTTTTTTATAAATAAATGTCCTTTGTACTTGTGCACTGCTCGTCATTATAAAAAAAGTTATATTTGTTTACCATAAACTTTTATCCACCTCTGAAACCACTTTTATGCTGACGCAACTAAGACCACAATTAAAATGATTCTATAATATCCTAGCGGCGTAGGATTCAGTCAAATTCCAAAGCATAAAATTACCCCAACCTACATTTAATTAATTTTTTTCACAATATTATTTTGCTTAGAAATGCATTATTATGGAAGTTAAATGAGTTGTGAATGCCATTTCATGTTGTCTTTAATGTCATGCTAATGCATTATTGTGTTAAACATGGTTTGAAATCTATAATAAAAGTTGAAAATAACCAGAATACAGAATACAACCATTTAAGGTGAGTCTTGTAAAGCATTTCAAGAACATGTCTGGTCACATTTTACTGAAATCAAAGGAAATAGTAGAAAATTGTTATTTATTATTATAGAAACTGTTATCAGTTTAGTTTATTACAATGTTTAAAAAACTAAAATACACACACATGCATGCATACATACATACATACATGCATGTATGTATGTATGTGTGTATATAATATATATATATATATATATATGTATGTATGTATGTATGTATGTATGTGTGTATTTTAAATTTTGTGCTGTTTAAAAAAATATTTATCACTAAGAGGTAGGGATGTTCATTTTAACCGGTTAACCGACGGTAAGAATTTTGACCTAGTAATACAATCAGTTAAACTGTTTAAAAATATATATATATATTTTTTTTTTTCTTCAATAATTTATCAAAATATTTAAAACTGTTTGCTGCGTGGTTAAAATACACTACGCGTATAAAAGTGTGTTTTTTTAGGGGGAAAAAAACATAAGTCGCATTTTATTTCATTCAGAAATAGGCCTAATGCCGACGCGAAATGTTTACAAACATTATAATAAACACTGTAAACATAGCTAGGCTGTTTTAGTTCCCCTCACTCCACAACAAATCCTTTCAATTAACGGTATTTAGAAAAGAACAAGAATTAAAAATATAAGAAGCTATAGCAATATAAATGACAAGCCAAAACAAATTAATTTAGGTTAAAACGAAACTGAAACCAACGTTGAGTCTCTCATTCGACACAAAATCAAATGTTTCCGTATTCGCGATGTATTTGAATGCCAAAATATTATTTATTATGTAGCCTACTTCACT